CCCCAAAACCCCAAAACCCCAAAACCCCAAAACCCCTTAACATCTCAAAATCATTGAATAGCAAAAATTATGGGTTCTCATCAAGGTCTTTTATAAAGATCGAGTTGAACTTAAAGCAGTTCTTATCAAAAAGCTGGTCTTTCACATCTTGTTTCTTAGCAGGTGAGCTGAAATTAGAAGAGAATAGCTTACCCGAAGTCAGTTTCAGTGCCTCTCTTTGCTAATTCTGGTTGGTCAATGTCGTCAGGGTTAGTTATATTCACAATTATTCATTTCTTAGAAGGGTCTGCATAGTCAGGAATATCAAGAGTCTTATTAAACCGGTCTATATATGATAGAACACAAATACCTTGGAAATCAATATAAGCTTTATTTATGTACTCTTGTGGAGAGAAAGTATCAAGTTTCCGAGAGACATGCTTTCGGTTAAGAATACTTCTAAAGTTTGTCTGTCAACCAGAATCCTTCTTTTCATCATTTTTATTCTGCTCTTTAAGTCGAAATATGCGAAGATATTTCGGTATAACCTTATTAGTCACCTTTGGGTTTACCTTAGCTTGCCTATAGAAATGAAACATGGTAAAAATAATGAAATGTTGCTGAAATTTACTTTGTGGCAGACTTCAAAAGACCATTTTTTAAAATACTCTTCTTTCGAAGCCTGATATCTTTGATTGACTTAGACTTTTCTACAAAGTTAGGAAATTTCTCTACTAAAATCAGTCTTTTTCATCATTCCTTTAACCATCTTGCTGCTTATTTTCTTTTTATTTCGGCTTGAACAGGCTCTTTAGCATATTTTGAGTCTAAATAATGATTAATACCTAAGAGAAGCAAAAGTTGGTACCTTGACACACTCATAGCTGCCACCTCTTGGTTGCCAACTCCGAGTAAGGGGTTCATCAGGCTTTGGCTTCTTTTGAGGTTCCATTTTAGGGTTAATTTTGTTTACCTTTGAAGGATTCACAGATGGCTAAAATAAAGATTAGTCACTATTCTTAAGCCTATCAACAATTTTGGGCAATTAGATGATATAATTTTAGTAAAAGTGGTCATCTTAACCTCAAGAAAAACATTACAAATGATTAGAGCTAGCATGGATGTGCTTCATTTTTTCATATCAAAAATGTTGCATAAAAACTTTTAGCTAATACACATCTTTTTACAATCTCTCAAACATAAGAGTTTATACGACGCTTGTATCAACCTCTAGTAATCTCTGAGGTAGATTTAACACAGAGTTATACATTTTTATGCAAGAGCATGAATAAAGACCTTGCATGTTTAAAATCCTCAAACCCATATCAGAGTGAGAGAAAATAAAATTTACCATAATAGTGTCTTTCTGAGGGCAATTCTCTGTAATCTGTAAAGCTTCTGAGTTATTCTGGAGACAACTAGGTGTCAGCTTAGGCCTCAATGCTGATATCTCAGATGATTCATCTACCTTAGCTATTTTCTATAGCAGATTAGCGTTACAGCTGGTGCTAAACTATTGGGAATTATTCAGCCCATTTAGTAAAGATTAGTACTGCAACCCTCATAGAAAGTACTTACAAGATAATTATTAGAATGGTCTTCAGTATCACTTGAATTAATACGGCCAAACTCAAAGATGCTTCCTATTTTTGATTATTTAAATTCCTACTGTGAGAGATGTTAGACTCCGGTCTTTTATACTCTGTCTCTGAGCGGTTATAATCTGTTCCAGTATCAGAGTTTATCTCAACGGGGTCATTGTTAGATGAAAATGTCTTATCGAAAATAATCCTCTTCCTGCTATTATTTGCCACTGATCTTCCTATGTATTGGATGAAATGTATTTATAAGTGGTTGCTCATGACTAGTCGAGCCTTAATATTTCAAATAAATTTTTTATTGCATCCAAAGTCTGACAACAGGATTACTTGGGCAAACTATCAACTCTCATCAAATGGGATGAGGTAAAAATTGAATGAGGGAGTTAATACCTATTTTCAAGAAGCATGCTTCCTCCAGTGGTTTTGATCCGCTTCTTCTTAGAGACTCTGAAGTTATATCAGTCGTGCTCTGTCCATTCCTGTTTCAGAGGCCTACTAATGAGAAGAGATGGAATACTTCTTGTCTTGTGAACATAACTCTATGGTAGAAAGAGCTTGATAATATCCATGAGTACCAGCTATATGCCTTCCATGTAGGCCATTTTTACCTCCTAATTGGCTTGCCCTGCTAGGAATGATATCTCTTTGCCAAAAGTCAGCTTTTGTATCAGTAAAAACATTTATTTTCGGCTGTTTCAAATGTTTGTCCCTGAAACAGTAGGATAAGGCTAAAGAGTTATTCCACTGTGGCACTTACTCTTTATATGAAGCATTGTAGAGTCATTAGTTGTATAAGGGGTTTTGGATATGATGGTTTCAAAGTTGACCTTTGCAAAGAGCCTTACAAGCAACACTTGAATCCTCCTTTGAGGAGCTATATCTTGGCTCTGATTTAGAGGTGATTTTTAAAGAAGTATTTGAGTAAGGATCTAAAGTAGGATTCCTCCCTCTTCTCTTCTGAGGCACCTTTGGTAAGGCTTGGCTAAGTAAGGAAGAATTCACTTGCTTCCTGTTCATAAACATGAAGTCTGAGGATGTTTTTGATACTAAATACAGGTTAACAACATATTTAATGCAATGCTTGATCAAGCAGAGACTAATTTTTGAATTCCATCTTACATTTATCCATCTATGAAGGTAAAATATTCAATATTTTTTATATTTAAGGGGTTTTGGGGTTTTGGGGTTTTGGGG